CTCAGCTCAGAGAGCTCAAACTATTTCAAAAGGTAGCCACACGGCTTCCTTTGTTGTCCACCATTTTTGTCACCATGACCGTGACGAAGCCACATGGTGCATTGTCTCTCTCCACCATCTTGTTCTCTCTCTCTCTCTCTCTCTCTCTCTCTCTCTCTCTCTCTCTCTCTCTCTCTCTCTCTCTCTCTCTCTCTCTCACACACACATCTACATACACACTCATCTGTACACACACACATTTACACCTCATCCACAAGCCTTTGCTTGATAATGTTTGTTGCTTAGATTAGTTTATAATAGTTATTTGTTAATTAAGTTCATTGATTTTGGGTTGATGTTGCTTTGTTTAAATAAATTCTGTTATAATTTAAGAGAGCAGTTGTTTGTGGTTACAAGTGTATTTACATTGTGATATAAGCTGGGTGCGAAGGCTTTGTGTACGGATTTCACGCCTTCAATTCATTAAATATAGTTATTCATTATTAATAATATTAGTAATTAAATAACTAATTTGAGACTGATTTGAGTGATATATTTGGTTATATTTACCTGATTACAGGTTGGTGCCCCAAAACGAGATTAAACATAGTTTAATGATATTTAATTTATATTATTAATAATTAAGTATAATTATTAAAGAATATAACCAAAGTTGACTTGATACAACCCCAACAATGGTATTCAGAGAAGCTGTTTGTCAACAGGCAAGGCAGGCAGCTGATTGGGCCCCCAGGCCAGTAGGTCAGGATACCCTCTGTTCATCATTCAGTCAGATTCTGACAGGATGGAGGTTCCTCTCTGAAGTTTCCCTTTTTTATCGCATTATTAGTTTCTATCTATGAGAATGTGAATCTGGTCTGGTGCAGTAAACAGGTGTGTGTGTGTGTGTGTGTGTGTGTGTGTGTGTGTGTGTGTGTGTGTGTGTGTGTGTGTGTGCAGGTGAATGTTAATAACTTACCTGCCACAACAATCAGATGTAAGGTGGAGTTATGATGTCCTCTTGTGTTCTGAGCTTCACAGTAATATCTCCCACTGTGATCAGCACTGAAGTTAGAGATGGTGAAGATCTGTCCTGAAGCTGTTGGTGAGTCTTCATCCTCCTTGAACCAGGTGTAATTAGCTGCTGGGTTAGCATGACTGCTACAGGTCAGAGTCACTGAACTGCCCTCCACTATCTCAGCAGAGGGACTCACTGACACAGAGGGAAGCTTTGGAGCATCTGGAGGAGAAAACATCTGTTTTAATTTCTCCTCAACATTAAAATGTTTGAATTGTCAAGATGAAAAAACTGAAATAATATTAGAGACATATCACATGAACAGAAAAGGGGATAAGAATGAGCCTGTTTTAATATATAGATAATTAATGATTCCTTTAAGTGACTCTGTTCCAGCAGCTACAATCACAGTCAAGACATCTCATAAAAACACTGAGTATAAGAACATGAAGCACATTAAAACAAGTGGATCAATTCAAACAATCTATTCTCACTAAGACAAAACTACTGATGACTCTCTCTTTATGTCTCAGTTTTAGGGACGTATCCCTCTGCTGCCCCCTTTTGGGTGGTGGTGTGTAATACATTCAGGAGTGTTGTTTTCCAGCTCCCATCGATGCTCCTCACAGCATCAGATGTTAGATATGATGTCGCATGACGAAGCATTGAACGCTTCTTGTCCACACTGGATCCATTAAATGTTTATTTCTCTGCTCTGTGAATTTCAGTTTCCCTTTGTAAACAGTATGACATCTAGTGCTTTTATTTTGAAGTGAACAAACAGAACTGTGTTGCTTTAGTCTTTGCTGGAGGAGAGCAGAATAAAGTTTTGCCTCCATGTTATCAAAAGTCACAGCTACAGGTCAGAGTCACTGAACTGCCCTCCACTATCTCAGCAGAGGGACTCACTGACACAGAGGGAAGCTTTGGAGCATCTGGAGGAGAAATTTACAAACAATTTTCATTTAGTTTGAAAATCAATGTATGGTCAAACTTTTTGAATGTTAAAATGAGGAAGAGTTAACAGGTTATAAAAAGTAAAGTCAAACACTGTGGAGTGCAGCTTTAGTTATTCAGAACTTCTCTTACTGTAAAATACTCCAAAAATTTTCACTGTTTGTGAAAAATGATGCAGACGGATGTTGAATGTATGAAAACGTTAAAAAACACATCATAAGACTTAGAAACTTAGTGAGACAAAACAATCTAATTATAGAAAGAAACAGAAGCAAACATGTCTTTAACAGTTTGCATCATATCTAACTCTCAATCTAAAAAACCTGAATATTATTTACAATTTAAGCCTTATCCAAATACGTTCAGTGATGAAAGTTTTAGTGAGGATATACAGTACCTGACACAGAGAGAAGGAAGATAACCAATCCACTCACTGCTGCTTTCAAACTCATAGCTCCTCTCATCCCTGTGTGACTTCAGAGAAAATAAAACACATTAACAGAAGGTCTGTACATGTTTCAATAAATGGCATATCATTGAATAGTTCTACTTACAACAGGGAGGAGATGTCGTCTCTACAGCAAATGTTCCTCTGTGGTCATCAGGCGGCAGAAGTCAAGCTGTTAAAGTTTGTCTTCCTTCCTCTTCACATTATGAATATGCATGAAGTTACAGACTGGCGTCCAGTACTGATGTTATTTTAAAAAGAATCTAAGGCACTAACGAGGTTGGCTTTCTAAGGATAAGAATATCAAGAATCTTTAATGTAACTCCATGTAAAGACACCATCAGACAGCAGTTCAGATAAAATGTGTGAGAATGCAGCCAATGAAACGTGTTCAATCAGCAGCTGCAGCAGATGATAAGCTTACTTGGTTTAACTATGGGTGCAAACAGGCGGAGTTTGAGAGAAGAACCACAACTCTGACCTAAAACAAAAAGATGAATTTTGAACGTGCAAGTACACTGGCAGGATGTCAGAATAAGGCAGTGGTTAAGTTGCTCCAATCTAGTCTAGCAGAAATTTTAAATGTTCCTTTATGACTTTAGAGTCTGTAACCTGATGCACACTGCCTCAAAAAGATTGTTTTTCAAATACTTGATAAGAGTTACCTGTGAAGCAGTTGATGTTTTTAACAAACCTCATGACTTATTAAAAGGAGAAACACCTTGTCTGCAAGCAACTCTTTTGATGTTTCAGCTCAGCATTATGAGAAAGCAGATTGTATGAATGGAAACTTACAGCCCTAAAGTCCAGTTCGTTTGACCAGTGAGAATGCTCCGATCCTTCCTTGGCCATGGCATGATTCAAAGAGGTGTGCTTCAGCACGGTACAGTTCATGCACGAGCACAAGTACACAGGTACACAACGTGGACAGCCTTCATTATGGAGACATCCCGGAGTGTGACTCAATGACTCAAAATAAGCCACAAAGTCAGTAAAGTAGCTGACATTTCTTTTTTTTTCTCAAGTAAGCCTGTCTTGTAAACTAAGCACGCTTCATGATAACATAAAGCCATGCCTGTGTTGTATTACGACCTTATGTACAAGAGGTAAACTTGCTCAGGCCCGGTTAGTCCTTGAGCAGTGTGAGTGCAGGCCAGCAGGGGAATGGGGAGGGGGACAATCATGCTTAAGCACGGTACGGGACAACTTTGCTAGTGTGAGCGTGCCCTAGGCCTATAGCAGCAAAACTAGGAGCTGGTCCATACCTGAGCCAGCCCTAAGTATAAGATTCACGAAAGTTCTCAGCCTTTTCTTAAAAGGATAGAGTGTGTCGCTCTCCCAGACCCTTACTGTTAGATGATTCCGAAGGAGAGGGGCTCAATAACTCAAGGCTCTACTTCCCATAGTACATTTAGAGGCCGTAGGTACCACAAATAGGCATTCATTCTGGGAGCATAATGTTCTCGAAGGGTAATACGGCACTATTAGCTCTTAAAGATAAAAATTTGCCTGGCCATTAAAAGCTCTGTAATTGAGATAGATACTATTAGCGCTTGCTTAAGGTGCCAGTGGATCTCTCAGTTATGTTCAGGCCTCAGACAGCTTTATTGTTGCAGCAGGCTTGTGGGGGCCTGACTGGGCATTCCAGGGGCTCTAGGCAGACAAGAGAGTCCATGCCACATCAGTGCCAGGAGTCCCAACATGGGGGTCAAGGTGCCTTGACACCCTACCAGAGGCCTCTCAAGGGTAGCCCTGCTTCTGCCCCCCTTGGGAGACATAGTAGAGGCTGCCAACTAAGGGTCATGGTGACTCCCCCACGACCATTCCAGAGCCCCTGCCAGCCTCCCCTGCCAGTCGGCTACAGGGACACTTGGTTAGCCTTGTGGGTAGACCCGTGGGTGGTCTTTACCATGACTCAAGGCTACTGCCTACAGTTATTTTGCAAACATTAATGCCACTGTGAATGATAGTCAGCATGTTGAGTCCATGTAGCTTAGGCAGGGCGGAAGTGGATCTGATTACTTCAAGAGAGTCTGCCATGGTAAGCGACTTCTCCAATATTGGTTGCCCCTCCAAAAGAATGGGGAAATTGGTTCCCCATCTCCAGGATGTCCTGCAGTTTTCAGTCCCAGCTGGAGAGTAAAGCAGAAGTCTGCTGACGAGCAGGGGATCAATTTTCTTACTGCTCCATTTGGCATTCTTGGCAGCCTGAGACCTACAAAGAAGTCAGTGGAAGTCATTGTCTAATTTCAACAGAAAGTCTGCTATGATTTTTTTAATGTCTAAAAAGTCTGTATTTTCACCGTTTACAGGGTACCTGTTTGAAAGCATCCACCTGAGAGCGTTTATCTGATCAATTCAAGTTTGGTGTCAAATGAAAGTAGACAAGTTGAAGAATAAAAGAGGTTTCGAAATAAGGCGCGCCCGTGGCGTGATTTCCAAGTTTGATATCGGTTTTTGCATCGTGCCAATAACAGTAAATGCTTATAACTCTACTATGCAGTGTTCAATCATCACCAAAAAATTCATGCATGACAAAGAGCCTGCCCTGAACACATTCATGATTGAATTTTTTTAATTAGTCACAGCGCCACCTGTTGACAACAAGAGGTCACTCCGTCCGAGCACTGTTTCCTTGCACTAGTCATTGCTAACAGTTGCTTGTATCGCCCTCAAAATCACTGTTGACCATCCAAAGACTTTGAACATACAACATTTACAAGCACAAAGTCCTGCGTAAAAAGCTGTTCCCTTACGGACAAGTTGTTTGCCATCAAACAGGAAGTCGTTTTTTCACGGGCTTAACATAGTCGTACAGGCCCGAGACTTCATACATATAATCCTGGTACTAAACTCAAAGATCTTAATGGCTCAGTGGCCCCCTTCAAATTTTCTAAATGGCCTCCCCATAGAGGGTTTTATCACGTACATTCATGAAAATTGTTACGCATATTAAGCTTGTCAGGATGGACAAAAAATCCTCTTACAGTGTTTCAAAAGACCCAACAGGAAGTCCATAAATTAAAGTTGAACTTCACAATAATGGCCCAAAATCGTGATTTCAGCCTTCCTATTTGAACGAACTTGGCCGAGGGCGCCCATCCGATCGGCGCAATCTCAGTGTCAGTGCGTTCTAGACAGGCTCAACATATCTTGTTGTGCGCTGCACGTTATTTTGTAGAAAGGCGTGGCCGTGGCGTGCGTTTTGGCATCTTGCCAAAAAAGTAAATGCTTATATCTCATGATACGGGACCCGCCCTGAACACATCCATGTTTGAAATTTTCAAATAAGTCACAGCGCCCCCTGTTGACAACAGGAAGTTATTTCTACTCAATTAGCATTAGCCATTGCTACACAGTAGCTCAATTCCCCCTCAAAATTGGTGTGGACCAGCTAACACCGTGGCCATACAAGACTTTCAAGCTCAAACGCCTACGTCCAACGCTGTTGCCATACGGATGCTGTCGCCATCGAACAGGAAGCAGTTTTTTCACGGGCCTAACATAGTCGTTCAGTCCCGAAACTTCAGACATATAATCCTGGTAGTAACGTCAAACATTTGATACCATTTAAGTGAGTGGGCGTGGCTTAATGGCTCAGTGCGCCCCCGACAATATTTCAAACATTCAGCCCCCGCAGCACGTTGGACCTACTGTTCTGAATGTTACTATGCATATCCATCTTGATGACACCTACAATAAACCCTCTTGCACTCATGCTCAAAATCCAACAGGAAGTCCACAAATGATCACAAAATCCCTGTTATTTACAGGTGAGTAAATGTCACAAATCACATACATGTGGTCTACATATTCTTCTATAGCATGTGGAAGGTAACGCCATCCTTTAGTTTGTGTCAGGATGTGTTTTAAATTTGTTTTGAAGGTTTTCTGGTACTTTAGCTATGATGCTCATGAGCGCTAGCTTTGCTCATCGCCACGTTCATATATGTCTGTCATGGCTTGTCCCTACTCCCATGCTCTTTTGCTAGTTTTGTAAAGCTCCTGCATATCTCTTAAAGTAACCGTGGCTTCATGAAGACTTTGTTTTCATATTTTGTACTTATATTCATGTAAAAAGTGTAGCGCTAACTCCGCTAGCTTCGCCGTTTCTCTATGGAATTTCCCATGTTATTTGTTGGCATAATGCTAAGCGAGGATAAACTGGAAAACTGTTTTGCATTGATACGAATCGATACGAAGTAGCAGAACCGAATTATTTTATATTCGTGAAAAGAATAATAACACACAGAAACGTTTATTTTGTAGTTTTGAGAACTTTTGCATGTAATATAAGACAAGTATAACTTTATATATTTTTCTGTGCATATTGTGTTGAAGTATGGATGAAATGCTGTTTTTGAAGAAAGAAAATGAAACAGAAATACAGTTTAAGTAAAACTGAAATACATAAATATATGTATAAAATTAAAGACTAGCAGAAGCGAAAAATAAAGCTAGTCCGAAAGCATTCATCCGTTCGACACAAACTCTATGTCAAGTGTGTTCAAGACATGTTCAACACATCCCGTTGTGCTCTGCACTTCATTTCGTCAAAGGGCGTGCGTTCAAAGTTTGAAATGCATTTTGGCAACTTGCCAAAAAAATAAATGCTTATATCTCTGCCATGCAGTGTTCAATCATATTATAATTTCTCATACATGATACAGGGCCTGCCCTGAACACATCCATGTTTGACATTTTTTGCATAGTCACAGCGCCACCTGTTGACAACAGGAAGTTACTGCTTCTCAGTTAGCATTAGCCATTGGTGGGGATCATGCAAACACCTTGGCCATACAGCACTTTCAAGCTCAAACACCTACGTCCAACGCTCTCGCCATACGGATGCATCATTCGCCGTTAAACAGGAAGTGGCTGTAACTCTCATATACGTTGTCTGTTCTGCCTCAAATTACACAATCAGGGTTGGCCTCTGAACACACTGACATAACAATAGTTTAGGGTTAGGGTTAGGGACCTCAACTTTAACCATAGCGCCTCCTACTGCAAGGAATAAGTACTACAGACTGCTCAATTTGCTCCATATTTCATAGCTATCATGTCAGTGCCAGCCTGAACTGTTCTACGAAAACATTTTCTGTGATCTGTGAACACAAATGTACAGGATGTGAAGGAGTCATGAGACCGGGCGGAGAATGAGCAGACTGAATATGCCAGTTTAAAAAGATGTGTTTTGAGATGAGATTTGAAAATGGAGAGAGAGTCGATGTTACAGATTTGTGGTGGGAGGGAGTTCCAGAGGTGGGAACGCGACACTCCGAGAGGCCGAGAGAGTACAACCCTGCAGATATTATTCAGAACAGACTGAGACGTAGCGTGAGGCTGTATCGTTAGCGGTGTCATAGGTTTGACAGGTTTTCTTTGTTCCTTTTTCAGAGCACATGAGTTATTAATGTCTGTCAGGACCCAGAATCTTAAAAAGTGTAAGTAGTAGTTCTTTAATTAGTTTCTGTTTTGAGGTTTTCTGTAATTACCTCCCTGAGGAGGTGAGACTCACAGATTCCCTCAATTCTTTTAAATCCCTTCTTAAAACATACTTTTACAGACTTGCTTTTATGTGATGTCCTCTTCTTAATGTCTTCTTACTGGTTTTACTCTTAGTATCTTCTTTTACTTCTTACTGTCCTTTTATTTATGCTCTTATCTTAACTCCTTATGTTTTAACTTGGTCATTTTTTTATCTTACTTTGTCTTTTTATGTTTTTATATGAATATATACTTTTTATTATTATTAATATTATTGTTTTTTTTTTATCCTTTAATCACTTGTTTCTATTTCTTTTACTGCTCTTACCTTCTTATTGCTGTTATCTTTTTATTTTTTTTATCTCTTTTAGTTTCTTACATCTTTTTAAATCTTTGGTCCTCTTGGTCTCAGCTCGTGTTGTTGGGTTCTTGTTTCCTGGGTTCTTCTGATGGTTCTTATGATGGTTCTTATGATGGTTCTTCTGATGGTTCTTGTGAAGGTCGGGTTATATATGTTTGTTGGGTATCGTGCACTTTGGGTTCTTTTCTGTTGAATCTGTTGCATTTGTTTGTTGTTGCTGTTGTTTCTGTTCTTCTGTGTTTGGTTTAGTTTGCTTTGTTCTTGTTTTTGCTGTTTGTCAAAGCACTTTGTAAACCTGTGTTTTTAAAAGGTGTTATATAAATAAAGTTATTATTTTTTTGTCGTCTAACACGCTCACAGTCTGAAATAAAAACCTGTTTTCTGTAATGATAACTGTGTTTGTTCTAAAAGGGGGAATCCACTCCCACGCACTCAGCAGCACAAAAACAATTCACTAGAAAGATTCAGATTCAGATTTGACTCCCTGCATGTGGCCTCTCAAACATCCAGAGGTGATTCAATCATTTGCAGTAACTATTGATCTCGATGAATGTACAGGATCTCTGAGATGAATGCTGTTTCTCATCCTCACAGGAGCAGGATCATTTCCTTTCTCCGACAAATGATCCCTTGTTATTTCCTGTCCCTGATCACATAAATGATTGAATCCTTGTTGATATAAAGGTTTGTTTTTCCTGTTTTGTTGTCCCGGGGACTCCTGCATGCATTCAATTTCTGGTACCACAGGGACCTATACGGGCTGCAGGGTTATTTTTGAAAAGGGACTAAAACCACCAATGTGACAGGAATACGGCAGAGCATTATGCATCCACTCTATTAGGAACTCTATTATCGCAAATGTCAAAAGTATTTGAAGATATCTAAATCCTTAAACCAGATGCATGCAACATGATGATTTGTGTTTTTCTTCCTTGATCCAACAGCGCCATCTGGAGGGCAGACTGTTAATAAGAAGGAACAAAACACATCTGCACAGATTATCTATCAGCTCTTTTTAAGGACTTGCATGGTCCGGGGCCCTTTCTGAATAGTCACAGTTCAGTAAGCAGTACGTACTATTCAGTATGGAGTTTCAGTATACTGAACTTTCGTGGTCATTCAGTGGTCATTTTTTGTGTCCACCTCAGTATACTGAACATTTCAGTATGGATACTAACTTCCGGGTTTTATGCAGTATCGATCGATGCGTGCTTTCAGGAAATGAATTGTGTTTTACCACCCACAATGCTGTGCGAAAGTAAACGTAAAGTATGCAGCCCAGGGCACACACAGGTCGTATCCGAATTGCCAAGTACATACTGAATCTTTCAGTATGCAGTACGTACTATCCGTGCTGTATACTGTCAGTACCTACTATTCAGTATGCACACACAGTAGGCAGATATTTGTTCCTACTTCTTCTGATTCATTCAGTATGGAAGTGACGTCATTTACGTTTCCCGAACCCGCATTCACCCGTTTTTTTTTTTTTGTTTTGTTTTTTGTTTAGCTTTATTCAAGAAGAGTAATGCTCATATACAGTCAGGTAAACAAAAAACAATATCACAATGTAAATCAAGTAAAAGATTAAATAACTAAATCACATACAGTACATAAAGGAAAGTACAAATGAAAGACAGTAATATACAGAATATAAAATAAACCAATAAAGACACATTTAAATAGTGAAATCATTATTTAAATAGAGGGGGAAAGGTTTTATAATAATGCAGGTATTTGTTTTATTTTTTGTTGTTAATTAAAAGTAGTGATTTCAGTCAGGACTTTAACTCTAGATTAAAAATTGATTGAATTAATCCATGCTTGTTTGTTTTGATTTGGAGGCGGACGTAACGTGACGATTTACGTTTAATTTCGCACAGCATTGTGGGTTAAATACAATTAATTTCCTGAAAGCACACATCCGATCCATACTGCATGAAACCCGGAAGTTAGTATCCATACTGAAATGTTCAGTATACTGAGGTGGACCCAAAAAATGCATACTGAACTGTGACAATTCGGATACGGCCCTGGTCTCATGTTTCCTGGGTCCAAACCAAGATATCCCACGACCTCTCTCCACCAATCACCCTGCTGCTGCTGATTTTCAAACCGGTCCTCTCTCTTCTGAAGTCAGTTTGTCATTTCAGTGCGATCGCTGCGACCCCCCCCTCCGCCCCGATCACCTCCAGTCCAGCTCAGCAGGGTTCAGATCCAGACTCAGAAACCCACTCCTCATCACATCCTGACTTCTTCTATCACCACCAGGGTCTAGACTCCTTAGGGGAGTCTATCCTATCCTGCTGTCGGCCTCGCTTCCCCTCTGAGTTCTTGAAGTCATCATGGCGGAGTCTAATCAAAGATGTTACATATTTATTTTCCTAAACCATTAAATAAATATTTGTAAACTCTTCCTGAAGTCTCTCCTGATTTAAATATTTTATGAATGAAGCCACAGTGACTGTGTGGATTTATTAAAGTCAACTTTATACACAAAGCTGACACTCTGGTGAGCTCTGATCCTCTGATACCAGTTTCCCACACAAAGTACCTCATCAGAATCGGAATAATGAAATCCTGCAGCCAAAAACAAATCCTGACTATTTAATTATAGTGATGCTTTTTTATAGCTTGCTTAATAACTTGCTGGCTTCTCCCTCAGGCATAATGTCACCATGTGCCTGAGGAAGGAGCAGGGTTGACACAGAACCCGAATTTAAAACTTAGAAATAATTCTAGTAAAAGTCAAACAGTGTTTTTTGGGGCCTTTTTGCCTTTATTTTGAAGGACAGCCGAAGAGAGACAGGAAACATTGGGAGGGGGGGCCTCCAACCAGCATTCATCACCATTATGTTAAAAAATAATCTGACACATTCAAGTTTTCACAGGAAGATTGGAAAGCTTAGCAGTGCAACATCATTGAGTACTGTCAGATGGGACCCCCCAAGGGAGGGGAACTGTCATTGTAAAATTCTGAGTCACTGCAACATGTGGTTTAAAGTTTGTCGGTCCTCGGTTTGGGTTAGCAAGCAGTGACCTGCCTTGCCTGTTGTTGTCAAGCAGCAACTCTAAACGGGGCCCGGCCTTAAATTGGGAAGGGCACTTATTTAAAGTTTTACTGAAACCACCTGGTTGGAGATTCATATTCTTGTTGTTTTTGCACGAGGGGAAGATTTTACTTTTTAACCCCTCAGGTACAAAATAACTACTCAGTTCTCGGTTTCTTTAAGACACCTTTAAAATAATAGTTTTTTATTTCACTTAAAAAGATTTATAGACCAGAACTTTTACTTTTACTCAAGTCAATAAAAGTAACTGTACTTTTATTTGAGTACAATATTCTTGTCTCTTTCCAACCCTGCAAAGTAATTACAGTGTGGTGGTTTTTTCTTTTTAACCTGATGTTTTGATAATAATACCACTAGGTGGCAGCATACCTCTTTTTTTACAGCGAGGTAAACATTACTGAGCAGCAAACACCAATGGTACACTAGTTGTAAGTGAAGCTTTGTCAAGCTAGTGTGAGCTACCCGCAACATCCGGACATTTCAACTTCACAATAAAATCGTGAATTGGACCGATTACTTCCTCAGATTTAATAAATATATGTGGTTTAAACTGGTGAAATGTTTAATCAACATAAATGTATATTCTAACGTTTTTTGTTGTGCTAATACAACATTATGTTCGGTTAATGAGAGCTTCAGATGTTAGTCTGATTACATGCACACTGTTTACCAGAAATAAGAACATGGGTTATTACCATAATGTGCCCACCAACTCCTTCACTTCCAGCGCCTCTGCTGTTTGTCAACAGGCAGCTGCTTGGGGGCCCTCAGGCCAGTAGGGAGGCCCCCAAGGGCTGATAAACTTTGAACCACAGCAGTAGCTGTGAAGGCGGAACAGAGGGAGATCACTTCATCCCCATTACGCCTCTGCAACATGGGGAGGGGGCAACATCATATTTAAGGTGAAACGTCACAGGGACCTTAATATCCTTTAAACAGCAGTCTGAAGAGGGAGCCCTCACTCATAGATGAGTAAATTACTGAATGAAGTCCATCCCGCCTTAAATTTAGAGCACAGACAATTGAATAACATTACTTCCATTATGGTGTTTTTAATTTTTTTTTATTTTTAAGCATTCATACTTTTATTTTGAAATTATATGTTTATAATATTAATATTTTGAAAATGATACTAATGTGAGCTTTGGGAGAAAAAAAACATTTATATTTTTACATTTTTTTGTTTGTGTGTCAGATTGCCGCCACTGTGAAAATTGGGCTTTTACTTTGAAATATAACCGGAAGAGATGCATTCGAGTCTTTTCTCACTTGACCCCCCGGCAGTCTGGCAGTCTCCACTTTACTCGCAACATCCAGGCGGGTAGCAATGTGAGAGCGGGACTGCTGCTTTTTCCCGGACCCCCCCTCCCTCTCCCCACCACCCCCAGCGTCTCAGTCTCCCCTCGCCCGCTCAGGATGGACGAGAGGCGGGCTGAACCGGACCACAACACCGGTGTTAACAACTCGGTATCGCTTTACGGGGAGTTCACGCTGACCGGTAACCGAAAAGTCCGGTGTGCGGTAAGTTTGACCGAAAGGGAGCTCGTCGTCCAGAGGCTCACCTCGACACCTGTCGGGCGGAACAAGGCGGTCCTGAGCCTGAAGGACTGCGTTGGCTGCCGGGCTTACCGGGAAGATGACAACGCGGACCCGGCCGCGTACCTGTCGGCTTACTTCTACCCGCTCAAACGCCGCTGGATGAGTTCCGGGGTGTCGCGGCAGAGAGTGGAGCAGAGCTTTCATCTCGCCGCGCTTCAAGATCCGCGCGCCAACTTGGAGGAGGCAGAGAAGTGGGCTCGCGCTGTCCGAGAACGCTCTGCCCGGCAACAGTATCCTAGAGACGGTGAGTGGCCCATAGCAACGAGGGGGGGAAAGTTTGGGCTAGTGTTGTTTCTCAGTATAAGTTCGCATTTAAGATAACAATTTAGACATTTATAAGGAATCAAACTTTAGTAACTAACCGAGAACACGCTGACACATCAATTTATGAGGAGACAATGTGAAAAATATTCAAACCAGCGTGAAATGGGTGGTTTCTCCCCCACTCTGTTGACTTGAATTAAGTAGTTTCTTGATCATAAAGATGCCGTAATGAAGCTAAATATGTCCTCTGAATGGATAAATGGTAGACTTGGGCCCTTACAATATGGGACCTGATGATTGGGCATGTTTTGTTTGATTTAGAAGTCTTCATCATCCCAGTGTAATGTGTGCTTAAGAAAAAGAAGTAACCCCCTCACAAATGAGAAGCTAAAAGGAGAACATTTTAAAACAATGATTAAAGGTGACATATTATGAAGAATCCACGTTTACAGTGTTTTTGAACATATATTTGTGTAACCTGAGAGTCTACTGACCCACAAAATGTGAAATAAACCCATCCAGTCCTTTGTTTGTGGTATGCATAAGTCAGAGGAAAATGCTCTGTTTCAAATGTGCTCTCCTTGTGATGTCACAGTGGGATTCTGGTAAAAAAATAAAATAAATCCCCTCCCCTCCCCTGGTATCTCCACCCATGGACTCGGGGGCTCGTTGCATTTAAAGAGACACACACACCAAAACAGAGCGTTCTGAGAGAGCTGGTTTATACAGGCTCACAAACCTCCTCTGGTGCTTGATGCATGTTATATTTTGACCACAGCACAGATGTTTCAGTTAGACCACAGGGGGCTGTTTGAAAAGATGGAGAAGGGGGATAATACGTCCTCTTTAAAATATTTGGGATAGATACCATTAGGCTATCTGACGATCAATTTAAAGATGAATGGTTTCAGCTCTGATGTGTCACAAGTAGCCTCAAGGGAATGACCTCCATGACCTACATGTTTTATTTTATTTTATTTTTTGCGAGGTTTGACCCATTGAGAGTAAGAACCTCTGTTCCAAAGGAGACCTGGTCAAGACAATCACCAACAAAAAAAACAAAGTTACTAAAAAAAGCAGTTGTTCAGACTTACAACGTTTACATAACTTAAATCTGGAACACAACAACATTTGGTTTTCCCACCCGTGATATCACGGCAACATGGCCGCTTTGGGAACATCATCCATTGACAAGCGCTACCACTTTATTTTAACTTTTCAACCAAAATAGAGCTGTAGCAACGTATCCACCTTCTTGTCCAAATATGGTCCCCTCTAGCTCCAAACAACCAAGATGGCTCGGACAGTTGGAGCGGTAAAATGCAAAACTTGAGGCGTCAACATAATAATAAACACACCCAATGGTTGACATAACAGTGGTTACTGATGACAGTATTTAAAGTCTCCTGTCTGTAAACCCGCTCAGCAAACAAACAATTAACATAAAAGATCCTGAAAAACAAGAGGCAATGTTACCGCTATTGAGTTCACATCCTGTCATGATAAATATTCTGAGAAAAGTACGTCCTTATCTCTCACTAGTCACACGATAAGATTACCTTTGACCTACTCCTATATCAATTAAACAAATAGGACAGGTGTGGTGTTGGTGTTGGTGTTGGGAGTCACATTTCTGTAACCCCACTCTGCAAACAAACCATATGAACATAAGAAGACACCTGAGAAACACAAGCCAATGAATGCTATTGAGTTCATGTAATGCCAAGAGGTATAATTACTCCAGTGGGAAATGTTCTATAATTGGAGATTTCTAAAGATAAGTCTTCTCATTATTTGTCCTCCTCGTTGAGACTCCATGTAGAAAGAAATAAAAAAAAGCTGTTCTTTGTCCCACACAAACGATATCTTCCACACAGCCACCGTATCACTCGCACTGTGTGACCCAGATAACATTTCCCCGTTTTACACAGATGTATTTTTAACGAGACTACTGAATATTACGCTATACGCCGTGTCATTGCCAGGACAGGAAAGAGCCGACTTTTAGAAACTCAAGACAGTGTTGTTCGCTTGAAACACATTGTGATTCCAGCTGAACCTGAGACAGAAACCTGATGAGGTTTGTACCTGGGGACAGACAACCAAACACAGACGTCTCCATACAGCTTCAGCTGCTCTGTAGTCATGTATTCCTCTTCTGACTTTACTCAGTTCAGACTTAAAATCACAGATCTTTGCTTTAAGGCTTCTGCTTGTTCCCATTTTTGAAGACACAATAACATGAACTTATTGTAAGAAGTAAGTAATCCCAACAAGTGTCGTCAAGATACTGTAATCTTAAACCTCAATCAAACAATATAAATACCTGTTTCGATACCATGGCAACAACAACACGAGTCCTGTTACCAGTTTCTTAAGAAAGTTCAGAAATGTAGAAGCCTTTTGGAGGAGGTGGAACATCTTCAAGATCTTAAACTATAAGTCCAGTCGTTTTGGATCAAGCTTCGATTGATCCATGACCTGGATGACTGAGAACTACACAGACATCTTTGGTTTTAGTTGTTGGCAAAAACAAGCAAGCAGAAGAAGTAATCTTCAGCTGTGGGAATTCATGCAGGGTGCTTCTTTTTTTTTTTTTTTTTTACTGCTGTCTGATAATTGAACAGAGTGATTGCAAGATGTGAAATATTGAAAACGATGAAGATTTGCAGGCCCTACAATATGTGTCTCATTGGAGAGTTGGCAGTTCAGATGACCGTAGCCAAGGTAACAAACTGTAGAAGTATTGAGGTAACTGAGTCAAACAGCACCATCATTTAGTAACACAAAATCCTCTGCATGGATTGTGGTCTATCTGCTGCAGTGTCATACTTCAAGGTTTCTCGTGATCAGTAACATTCATTTCAAAAGTTGTTGAAGCTGCAGGGCTTTCTGTTCTCTCTGGAATAGGACGACAGCTTAGCAGTCTAAAAAGGACTCTGAAGTAAGTTCCTCGTTTTGCCTGAGGCCTTGTGAGCCGTACTAAATCATGTTCAGGTGCTCTGTCTCCAAACCATTAGTCTTAATGAGGTCGGTGCTGCCTGTCTGACCTCTCCATCAATATTGTGCATGTGTCATTGTCTGGACTTCCGCTGTAGTACTCAAAATAATTCAGAAAGCATCTATATATCTCTAGATCAATTTACCTCTGACAGGTCGGGGCCAAGTGGCAACCTCTGGGTTGAAGAATGAAACCGATGTGATAGTTCTAAACTGCAGTTCCTTGAGTGTCCACTTGCTGCAAAAGCTAGCATGACAATGCTAAAATTAATGAAATAATAAGCATGTTTATAGCCTGCTACAAAAAAGAAATTGGTATCTGTTGGTCATTTATTTATTGGTACACAATGTATGGAGACTTTTTTAAAAATAACTAATTCATTTAGATTTTATTGTTCCTAAGAGTTACTTATAAATCTCTATAATTATGGGTGTGGTTGAGTTAATCCAATGGGTGTGTTGCAGCTGTTTGTTGGAAGGCTTATGGCCCCCATCAGCTGCACCTCTTTGCCTGTTTCTAGATTGACCATTACCAGTATTTTAGTGCATTGTTGGGCACTAAAATAAAATCAGAAAACCGCTGGGCGCTGCTTTTCTCCAGGCGGCTGCCTGCTGCTCTGAGCGCTCTCTCCTCATTAAAAACAATTGAAAAAGCCTGACGCTCAGAAACACGCTAGGCAGACTTAATTGGTATAGCAAAAAGTTTGTTTCTTGGAGGAATTGAAGCTGCTGCTGTTTCTAATTTGATGAGG